AAAAAAATCGCCAAAAAAATTCGCAAAAAATCCAAAGAAATCCTTCAAACCCACTCAAAAATCCCCCAAAAATTCCCCAAAATATCCTCAAAATATCCCCCAAAAAATCCCCAAAAAATTTAAAAAAAAAAATTAAAAAAATCGCAAACAAACCACCAAAAAACCACCAAAAAAAATTTTGGGATTTTGGGAGTTTTGGGGAATTTGGGGAGGGGTCCCGATGGATTTTTTGGGGGGGGTTTCCCGTTAATTTTGGGGGATTTCCTTTGGATTTTGGGTAATTTTTGGTGGGTTTTTTGAGGTTTTTTTGCTATTTTCTTTGGGGTTTTGTTTTGGTTTTTGGGGTTTTTTTGGGGGATTTTGGGGGATTTTGGGATTTTTTGGGAATTTGGGGCGGGGTCCCGATGGATTTTTTTGGGGGGTTCCCGTTAATTTTGGGGGATTTCCTTTAGATTTTAGGGGTTTTTTTTTGCTATTTTGGGGGGTTTTTTTGCTTTTTTTTGCTATTTTCTTTGGGTCTTTTTTGTTTTCTCGGATTTTGGGGATTTTGGGATTTTTTGGGAATTTGGGGAGGGGTCCCGATGGATTTTTTTGGGGGGGTTTCCCGTTAATTTTGGGGTATTTCCTTCGGATTTTGGGTAATTTTTGGTGGTTTTTTAAGGTGGTTTTTTTGCTATTTTCTTTGGGGGTTTTTTGGTTTTTTTGGGGTTTTTTTGATTTTCGGGATTTTGGGATTTTTGGGGAATTTGGGGCGGGGTCCCGATGGATTTTTTTGGGGAGTTTCCCGTTAATTTTGGGGGATTTCCTTTGGATTTTAGGGTTTTTTTTTTGCTATTTTGGGGGTGTTTTTTTTGCTTTTTTTTGCTATTTTCCTTGGGGTTTTTTTTGGTTTTTTTGATTTTGGGGATTTTGGGATTTTTGGGGAATTTGGGGAGGGGTCCCGATGGATTTTTGGGGGGGTTTCCCGTTAATTTTGGGGGATTTCCTTTGGATTTTTGGGTAATTTTTGATGCTTTTTGGTTTTTTGCTATTTTATTTGGGTTTTTTTTTGTTGTTTTTTGGGGTTTTTTTGGGGATTTTTGGGTTTTTTTGGGAATTTGGGGCGGGGTCCCGATGGATTTTTTTTGGGGGGGTTTCCCGTTAATTTTGGGGGATTTCCTTTAGATTTTAGGGGTTTTTTTGCTATTTTGGGCGGTTTTTTCGCTATTTTCTTCGGGTTTTTTTGGGGTTTTTTTGGGGAATTTTTGGGATTTTGGGATTTTTGGGAATTTGGGGAGGGGTCCCGATGGATTTTTTTTTTGGGGAGGGGTCCCGTTAATTTTGGGGCTTTCCTTTCGATTTTAGGGGTTTTTTTACTATTTTGGGCGGGTTTTTTGCTATTTTCTTGTGGTTTTTTTTGGTTTTTTTGGGGAATTTTTGGGATTTTGGGATTTTTGGGAATTTGGGGAGGGGTCTCACCTGTGCCCCCCAGCCGGGACCCCCTCGGACGAGCCGGGCCCCCCCGAGGCGCTGGGCCTGGCCAAGCTGCCGGGGGCGGTGGACAAGGACCGGAGGAGCAAAAAAAAGTGAGGGGGGTCCCAAAATTGGGGATTTTGGGG